GCGAACAGCAACGATTGCATAATTCGTTGGAACAATTTTCTCCCGATTGAAAAATCCGTGTTGCCTCTACCAACCGGTCGCGAACTTAATTTCGTTAATTATCTTAACGAAGTCGATGTTATCACGTGCGGGAAAGGATCCCGCGATAATTATCGCGCCGCGAGAGGAATGTTCGGCCCCGGAAGAGGGTTAGTTGCAACTTTCGTCTCGCGTTACGCTTCGATTCGAAATTATCGTACCATTTTGAAAATAGAATCCGTCCGTTATTCGTCTCGAATCGGGTTGGAAAGATTGATTTACACGAGGGAAGGGATTCCAAAAACAGGCATCGACCGGTTTACGAGTAAACGATCTACGGTCGCAATTAAAACCGTTGGTTTCTTGGCGAGCCAAGGACTTTCGCCTCGGTGTTGCACGAGGTCAGGTACACGAGTCCGCGGTCCGAGGCCTCGTTTCACATTCGTGGAACACAGAACGAAGGAGGCCTGCGTGCGGTTACCAGACGACCGTACAATCGTGCGGGTAATTAGCGCGGAACTGGTTTCATCGCTGGATCGTTCATAATTCGCGTCCATTAGCAGTTTCCCCCATTACGATCGTGATCGTCGAACACGCTCCTTCCTTTAGCATACCCGCCGCTCCGATATTCGCTCTCCATATTATTCCATCCACTCTTACTTTTTTCTTCGCCTCTTTTTCTGTCGTTTTATCGATAAAAAGAGCTCCCTTTGTTTTCGCGCTAAGATTAATCTCGATCTTATTCGTGGTACGTTTTGTTGCAGATTCCCAGGATGTCGATCTGGACGCCATCCTCGGCGAATTGTGCGCTCTGGAGCGCCGCTGCGATGGCGACATCGCTTCCACACCTGCACCCGACTCGCAGAGACAGGGCCGACCTAATAGCACTAGAATCACCGCTGGCGACAATACCGATATCGGCAAAAACGAAGGAGGTATGTATGATTTCTTTTTTTCCTCTCTGGAAATTTGTCTAGATTGTCCAACGATTCGAATCTTACTTGATATTTAAAGTTTCGTCTCTTATAAATAAGGCAAAACCTCTTTCGAGGTGTGCACAGATGATGCGAAGCGAAAGAAATTTCTATTGACGAATTTTCTATTATTTCATTTTTGGTAAGGTCCCTTCGATCAATGTCAACAAATAGTATTTGTTTTCAGCTATGCGCACCGACAGTCCCGACAACGACAGCGCGTTCTCGGACACGGTGTCGATGTTGTCCAGTGAGAGTTCCGCGAGCAGCAGCGGTTCCGGGCACAAACCACCTCAGACCGCCATGCACACGGGTCCGCAGCAGCAATCTCACCAACTCATGGGTGAGTTTTCGACATTTTTCAATGAGGATGTCGTGGTGGTGTTTTAACGCTGTGAATTTTTTCGGGGAAAGACGCGGCGAGCCGAGTCAAGGCAGAGAAGATCCGGTTGGCGTTGGAGAAGATGCGCGAAGCCAGCGTTCAGAAGTTGTTCATCAAAGCGTTCACCTTGGACGGGAGCGGGAAAAGCTTGCTCGTGGACGAAGGAATGAGCGTGGCACACGTGTGCAGGCTTCTAGCCGATAAGAATCACGTGCCGATGGATCCAAAGTGGACGGTGGTCGAGCATTTGCCCGACCTTTTCATGGGTGAATACTTCTTCCATTTCTTTTCGAGCGAAAAGAAATCGTTTGCGGCCAATTTTTCTGATCCGTTTTCTTTTTCCTTTTTTAGAGAGGGTATACGAAGATCACGAATTGCTGGTGGAAAATCTTTTACTGTGGACCAGAGACTCGAAGAACAAGCTGCTTTTCGTCGAGAGGCCAGAAAAGACCCAACTCTTCCTCACTCCAGAGAGATTTCTTCTGGGTCTATCCGACAGAAGTTGCGGCGAATACGACGATCACTCGCGCAATATTCTTCTCGAGGAATTCTTTTCGAGCAGTAACGTTGGCGTGCCAGAGGTAATTGGAATGCTTTCGATTCGTTGCGTCTAGATAGCGTTGCTGCTATCTCATCATAAAGAAAAAAAAAAAGAAAAAGAAAATTAAAAGAGGAATAATGTTTCAACTTTGATTTAGGTGGAGGGACCATTGTATCTGAAATCTGATAGCAAGAAGGGATGGAAGAGATATCATTTTATTCTTCGAGCATCCGGCCTCTACTATTGGCCGAAGGAAAAGGCTCGTACCGCTCGTGACCTCGTTTGCCTGGCCACGTTCGACGTGAATCAAATTTACTACGGTATCGGGTGGAAAAAGAAATACAAAGCCCCGACAGATTTTTGTTTCGCCGTGAAACACCCGAGGCTGCAGCAACCGAAATCGACCAAGTACATCAAATTCCTTTGCGCGGAGGACAACGCGTCTCTGGAACGATGGATGGTTGGAATCAGAGTGGCCAAGTACGGAAGACAGTTGATGGAAAATTACAGGACTCTGGTCGACGAGCTCGCTCAGGAGGACCTCGATATGCTGGCCCACGCGAGGTCGTGTTCGGTTAGCTCGATCGCCCCCCCAACTCAGAATCAAACTCAGTACAACACCACCAACGACAACGCTCGCCAATTCACGGAAAATTCGAGGCACAACGCGGAAGTGGCTAATGCTAGACAGTACGAAGGCCAGAGGCAAAGTTACAATTCCGAGCAACGGCAGAGTTACAATAACGACGGTAGACTGAGCAGAGCGAGTAGCTCGAGTTCCAGTGGATGCCTGTCGGACGGAGCACCCAGTAGTTGCGAGGTAAACGCGCGAGGATAATCCTTGCATTTTAAACTCGAGTTTCGAATTTTAATCTCACGATCCCTCTCCAACCTCTTTTATCTTTTCGTTTTTTTATCTTTGCACGCGCGCACGGTAGGTAGCTTTCGAATGTGGCGAGTTTCCAACGGGCACGATAAAGAGGAAACCCTCGATGAATCCAAAATTGCCCCTGACGTCGATCACGAGACAATTGAAGGAAGTGGGCGAAACGGTTCGCGACGAGCCAGACTCGTGTCCCAGTCCGACCAG